GCTCACGGGGGATATTTTGAAATGCGACTTTAGCATGTTGTAGCACATAGTGTTAGCTAGCGTGCATAGAAATTCCATCGTCTTTCGTAGTTGAGAAGTTTCAAATATATTGCTATAAATCGGCGCAAATAATTTTGGGACACCCTGTACATTTAACGATTGGGTTGAGATATTGGTATAATCAAACCTTTAGCAGTAATTCTTGGCAATATGTTTCGTCTGCCTTTGAGAGTGGTTCAGGACTAGTCATCCCTTCACCGTGATACTTTTTTTTTGAGTGTGCCGTTTCGTACTGTTGAACTTCTGCTGTCATAGCAGATCTTACAGAACGGTATAGCATGTTACTATATGTTGTGTAGATTTCGTTGTGTAAATAAAATTTTCGTAGCTCTGGAAATGTGAGATGCTTTGGAGCGCTAGGGCACGTATGTGGTGTACATTTGGGATCCAGGAGTGATACTCTGCTTAAATGGATGTTACCATCGTTATGAACAAGCCTAAGGCTATATGAGCGACTCTGGATAATCGGGATTTTCTAAACGCACGATAGGTTAAAGGCACAGTTTACGATAGTTTTGGGTAATCCAGGTTATGATGAAAAATGGAAGACAATATCGAAAACAGTACAATGAAGGTGAAGAAACTGCGTGAACCGATGTTTCCGAAGTGAAAAGAGGCTTCGAAAATTCGTTAAAAAGGAGCTGGACGAGAATGAGACCACAATAACGAAGAAGAGTGGGGCGTTTGGACGAGCTATACAATGTGGGTAATTGCGTACATGTGGGTCCTGGTGCAAACAACTGACTACGGTAAGCAAAAATCCATTCACTTGTAGGCATAAGTAAACAAAAAACCCTAGTAACAGAAAAAATAGCTCACCTTCCTCAGCCTCTTGGGTTTGGAAATTAAATAAGGGATTGCGGCAGTGAAAAGAGTAACAGAGGGAAAAAGAATGGGAGGAAAACATCGTCTCATCGCTCGGCGATCCGATTGTGTGTGGATCCGAGAACAAATAAATGAAATCTGTATCGCCTCGACACTCGTCTGACACGACATCGATCGAGGGGCGGGGAGGCCACGCAAGCAGGGAAAGGGGTTTCCACTATGCCCTATCCGTCCAGTTTTGAGGCGAGGGAGAGCCCTTTTCATTAACCTTGAGGACCAATGGATACTGAGTATTCCTGGGGGAAAAACTCAGTAAATATTTTTATCGTTAACGGTGCCTTTAACATACGACCACCCTTCTACCTCTTCGTTCAACTGCTATCATGTCCTCGCCTCTACTCTTTTGTGTTTAGCTAATAATTTTTGGATGGAAGGTTGCAACAAAACAATGGATATTGGTAATGATTATTGAGGACACTCTACAATTTAAGGGAGGAGCCTTACAGCGGCGAAACCATAAACCTCAGAATTGACAATTACGCTCAAACTTCAAAACGAAAACTTACCTCGCAGAACTCCTGTTGTAGAAAAACCTGGAATACGGTGAAATTTCAGTTTCTTTCTGGTTCTTACTATAATTCGAACTTGTTCCACTCCCAATTTTTCCGCCTGCGAAATCACGTATGTGGTCCACTAAACGAACTCAAATAAGGGAAACATGCCAAGAATGTTCGTCATGGTCCAAATACTTGAAATAAAAACTGTAAGAAAATTTGCAGTGTTTATCACAACGTAGAATTATAGCCGATTCACATTACGTAGACTTTGACACGTTCCCACCGTACAGTACGCGTACAGTAAGCTTTCAATGGAATACATTGTTGGTTGAGATAGTCTCGAATTAACACTAGAAATCTGCTGTAGATGATGAGGTCTTTGACCATCTACTTGGATCATACAACAGAGCAATTGGATGAAGCACATCAACACATACAGAACAAAAAAAACAATGACGAATACCAACAAAGTTTCGGACCCGTTTCTTAGCTCCTATTTCTATTTAACAACAGAGTCACCAGCAAACTATAAATACAATGCGCTCGCGAAATTCTTAAAATCTAACAAAATAGATCATGGATATGCTGCATAGGACAATAGCAATGTATAAAAAAAAGTCATACAAGGAGACAATTTTATCTATTTTAAAGTTGTGCGATCGCGAGCTCGCGTGTGAGAGATCAGCCAAGATGGTGAGGCCATCCAGGTGGCGGAACGTTCGTTGGAGGAACATTCGGTGGAGGAACATTCGGTGGAGGGACATTCGGTGGCGGAACGTTCGGTGGAGGAATCGATGTGTTCGGTATCAAAGGTATCATGGGAGGTGGTATTGCAGCGACGTTAGGAGCATATAGGTTAGGTCTGAAATGTCGAATGCTGCCTTATTCTGATAACTAATCAAAAGGAACTTGGCAGAATTGATTTTTCTATCAGCCGCTAAAAATGAATGCCGTTGATCATTGGTCCATCACTATGAACTCTAATGGTAAACAGATTTAAATCTCACGAACTGAACAAGATATTTCGAAAGCGGTAGCGCTTGGACGCTTTGCAGCTACTTTCCCCTTACAGTTTATAGGTTAGAACAAACATGTCACCACAGAAGGACCATATTCCTTCACCTTTCTTTCTAGCATGACCCGCAGAAGCAGAGATGGCTAGAAGGTCATTCGAAGAGAATCACGCAAACTCTTTTCCGCAACAGCATTACTTCGCAAGAAATTGTATCCAAACAAGGTAGCAGAAAGTGTGTCGTAAAGTGCTATAGAAATTCTCCTTTCGTCGTGCGAGTGAAAGATGGGGAGAACTTAATTCTTGATAAATAATCGAAAAATGAAAGTTAATCTACTACAGCCAAAATGAAATAATGCATTTTCCACATCCATCGAAATAGCTACTTACGTCACAAGTGTAGGAGGTGGCACAGAGAAGTTTGGAATCACGGGTGGAGGAGCATCCCATCGACTTCTTGGGGGAAAGGTTTTAACCTGAAAAACTATGGATCTTCCCACTTCCAAGACCTTCCCAGGACAAGGAAATCACCTGTGGTGCTAATGGAGATACGCGGCTCGGTGCAGACGTATTTCCCGGGAATGGAGAGATTTGAGTCACAGCGGATAATGGTGCAACCTGGAAGAAAATGTTTGAAAGTTGTAGTCACCATTGGAATATCTGATCACGGTGTAATGACCATGCATTGGGAATGTTCTGCAGGAAAATTTACCTGAGGTGGCATCGCAGGAGGAGGAGGTGGCGCGACCAAAGGCGGATTCGTGGGATGAGATTGCACAACTGGAGATGGCAATGCAGGAGGAGGGTGAGTGAACACAGTTGGGAGATGGCTTATGATCTTTGGAGGTTCCTCCACACGACTGCTAGGAGTAGGTATCTAAACAAGAAATATCGAATTTGGCAGTTGACATCTGCTACAAAGAATACACTTTCAGGCCGGAGAAATCACACTTGAACTCCAAAGCTGTAATCTATATGTAACTAGGACTTTGGCTACTATTCTCCAGCATTTATGAGCAATGAAGATGAGCCAAAGGCTTTCCATGTGTAATTCCAAAAAATTTAAAAAAAAACATTCGCTATTCGCAATCATTACTAGCAATCTCAACATGAGGATTGGCTTAGAGTGACTCTTCAGCAGCTCAACAAGTTAGAGGCCAAAACAGAGGAGCACTAAAAAGTAGCATTCTCGGTAACTCGTAGTACCATAAACTTCACTTCCTCTTTCATATGGTAAGCCTACCGAATACAGATTCGTCGTGGGATAAAACACATTACTACTATTCTAATATTTTTGTACCAGTCGGCTCGCTCGGTTGACGCTGGGCTCCCCTCCTTCCCGTGTTGAAATGGCCGCTCCGCCTGCACCACCCATCAAATTTGAACGCTCTAGGTCCACAGGAGCAGGAACCATAAATTTCCATTCAAACTCCGCCCCTGTGGGTGGAGTCCAGACCTGCCGCTCAGCATATGTGTCACCATCGTGCCGCCTGTACTCCTTCCAACTTTGAACTTTCTAGGTCCACGGGGACAAGAGTTATGATTTTCCAAAATGTTCTCATAAACCATTGCATTTTTGGAGAACGCCCCGCCCATCAGGGTGGGTCTCCCTAGTTCGATCTAATTTGCACACCTCTAGCCACATTTACACCCAAGTTCTGAAGCCGTCTCGTGACCGAATTTGAAATCATGGCCCTCAGTACAGCTTATTTCGATGCACGCCACACCCACTGTGGGCGAGGCTCCGCCAAGGTGATGTGTGCTTTATACTTCTCTGGACATGGCCCACTCATCCCACGTTCAATCCGGTCTCTCCAGGCAGATCTAAAGGAGCTAAGGAATTTCGTGACAGACATATGTACACAACAAGAGACGACATATAGACATACAGACGATAGACAGAACGACAGGCGAAGCGCTTTATAGTAAGTAGGATATCCCCGCTGTATCCTTTGTATGACTGATTTTGAAGCATGGAAACACGGCAGTGAACTATAAGAAGTCTTGTTCCACAACTTTTACTTATTGTGCAGTTTCGGTAGAGCTCAAGACCAGTGCCGTCTTGCCAATAGTTGGGAATCATCAATTGAACTCGTGTCAACCCATCGTCGGAAAGGTTGGCAGGAGACACAGGGTCATACTGGTAAAGTTAAGCCCACGCTATATGTTTGCCGCAGTATTCACCTTTCATCGAAATTTCTCCGATCACCTAACGGCACTGTTCAAGATAATTTTGTGTATCTATGACGACGTAGTTCAAAGCATAAAAACTGTCTCCTGGAAAAATAAAGACGTGACACATGATAGTAGGTCACGTATAAATATGTCGCCGTCTGTGTGTCTCCCACGTAAGCATACTGTTTGTTGGCACCTCATCGCTTTATGGTGAATGGTGAAGCCGCCATAACACGCTCATTTTTGGGTGTTGCGTCGGCCAACCCGGTTTTGGAGCCTTTATTACGCTCTGTCTACGTCAACATATCCCATGTACTATTTTAGGAGCCACAGGCTCATCTTAGGGAAAAATTTTAGAAACCGTTTTTATCGTAAAATAAATTCACATAATGATTTGATAAATAATGATTTTCCGTACTTTTCAACGCTTAGACTTCACACTCACCATTGATAATGTCACTCCGCCCGGAAGTGATACCGGGACATTTTCGCCACCATTGGCTAAGATAGGAGCTGGCTTCTCCGATAATCTTTTTGCGAGATCTGGTGCAGGTGACAACTGTACAGGCTGTGTAGTATTAACTACTAATGGAGATGTCTGAAAAAAAGGACTCTAACATTACGAAAGGAGAGATAGTTTTTCACAGATAGGAGCTGGCTTTTCCGGTAGGCATTTTTCGTTGGCGTATTAAAAGTTGTGATACCATCAATCTCATCAAAAACTCATCAGTCACTTCAAGAAAAAATCAGGCGCTTTTCTGTGTGGCTGCTTTCGAGAAAATGAATATGTATTGCCAAATGAGCTTGAGCCGAACAATAGAAAAACCATATTCCGCTATCAGAACTACTCCTTGAAAGCGAAAACAGTGAAAAAGGATTCGCAGAAGCTGCCATCGAAGTGAGCTAGAAAACTGGCAAAACAATCGAATTCCGTTAGCAACATCACATAACTCGAGCCCAACCTAGTAATAGTCGTTTATAATTTATGTGAAGCATACGACTGGCCAGCCTAGAAAAAACATTCGGGAAGGGAACCCAAGTGTATACGAAGGCAGGCTTACACCCTCACTGCATCTCTTCTGCAGGAGCTCGAATAAAAAATAATACTTCTTTGAGCCTTCCGTTGTCTTCTTCACGCCAACATCTTCAACATTCCCAAATGACAGAATGATAGAAAAAAAGGATGCACAACATGAGTGGATATTCCACCACTGAACTTTTAAGAGGTAGAGAGGTATCTTTTTTCGGGGCGAGCATACGCTAACAATGAGTATCTAGTGTATCTAGCAGCGCAATGCCGCATGTTTTTTTTCGGTAAAACCCCTGACGTCACGGATGACATCGGGAAATTTCAGATTTCAGCTAAAAAGCATTATCTTTGAATCAATACATCAATTGATTGATTTCTCCACTTCAAGTGAAAATTGCACATGTGGTGTAAAGTGCGGATCAAGGACATCATATGTACCCAAAATAACCTTTCGTTCAGGTTACAAAAGTGCGGAACCGATTATTACAACCCGTTGTAAGTGCGTGTGATGGTTTCGTAAAATGTTGCATCATTAGAAAAGCAGGGAACGCAAAAAAAAACGAAAAATGTAATCACAAAACCATAACCAAAACCAGAAAAGGCAGCTACTGTAGTATGATGGTAAAAATGGGATAAAGGGAGAAGGCTGAATGAGTTTCGTGTCCACTGATTTCAATTCAGATGGTAGTCGTCTGAATGAGTACCTGTCCATACAATGAGGAGAGGGGGGAAGGGGAGCTGGGCAAGGCGCGAGCTAATTGTTTTATCATTTGGTTGAGTAACGTACCATTAAACTGACCACGGGCAATGAGCTTGATCTGGCCAAGCAAATATTGTTTTGCGATTTGACACTTGGCAAGACGTTTAGCAATGGTGTTATTTGACCCTATTCCAGCTCCACCTACTGCTGATTACAGCTCGACAGAGGCAGACAGTTCACATCGCGGGACTGCGTTTTTCAGAAGAGATAACAGATATTGAGATGAAACAAACGGATGATGCAACAAATGGACGGAGGTGGTAGTTAATTTCGACCACGACAATTTTAAGTGACTCATATGAAAGAGGAGAAAAGAAGGAAAAGAGCCACTCGCTGTATGCTAGCACCGCGTTATAGCTAGAAAATAGCATGGGGCGACTCATCAAATGAAATTAAAGAAAGAAGACAATTTCAAAAAAGTCATGCCACCTCTTTCAACCTCACACCCTCCTTATGTATTAGACCTGCAAAGCACAGTCACTTCCTTGCACATACCGTGATTTAAGGAAAAAAACATGTCCAAAGTGAAGAATAATCAACGTTCTGGATACCTTTTCGGATTCATTATTTTGCGCTGGTACCGGAGGAACATTGTCCGTAATTGTAACCTGAAAAGAGATCCGAAATACAACTACAATGACAAGAACAATAAGGAAGACAGGCGATATTACTCACAGTGATGGTTTCGGGGTGACTCTTCTCCGTGGAGGTGACTGGCTGAGTTCGTGTTTGCGTTCCAGACGCTATAATATTCAAACGTTTTTTGGCGGTCAAAAANGTAATTGTAACCTGAAAAGAGATCCGAAATACAACTACAATGACAAGAACTATAAGGAAGACAGGCGATATTACTCACAGTGATGGTTTCGGGGTGATTCTTCTCCATGGAGGTGACTGGCTGAGTGCGTGTCTGCGTTCCAGACGCTATAATATTCAAACGTTTTTTGGCGGTCAAAAATTTTCAGAAACTATGCAACACATATACGTAAATCGTAATTCATTCATCTCCCGTTGTGCTATACATCACATCGACAGAGGAAATGTTCAGACAATTCGAGCAGCTCTGGAGTAACCTCTTTAGCAGATATAGACGGGCGGAATTTCTTATCCCTCTTGTCGATGTAGATGCATCATAAAATTTGGGAATTTCCAATTTGTGTATCATGAATCGTTCATAATAATTCATAATAAGAGGCGAACAAGTAAGGGCAGAGTGGCACCGAAACAGAGGGTACTAATTAGAAACGATAGAGAACCATTCGAAATCCTCTGCACCTTTTGCCTTTTCTTGTACAGCGCCATCAGCAAATGATCAGAGAGAGATCGACGAAAAAACAGCTAGAGCTATCGACTAAGTTGAGAAAGGGAAAAAAGAAATAAGCGTCAGCTATGAGATCACTTCTTTTGAATGTTGCTTATTTATGAAAAGGTGATGAAGCAACGGGTGAAATAATTAATATCAATCTTTTATTACTTTGGGTCTTGCCATAACCTGAATGACAAAAAAGATTGTCAAATGTTTTCACTACACTACAAATCGAAAAGGTGACTGATTTCAAATTCAAGTGAAAACCTTTTGAACATTTAGATTTTCGGCATACCCTAATGCATGAATGGAACTTTTCGCACTTTTGAGCTGGCCTGGCCGATATCAAGTCATAACCCGATCCATGGACCATGCTCCGCCAGTAAAGCGTCATCAATCCAAAAAGGACTTACGTTTTCGGAATGGCTCATCTCCATAGGTGCCATTCCAGAAGCCACGTTTCTTGTATTTGCTCGAATACCAAGGTCTGCCTTCTTCGTTGAACCTTAATTAAGAATAGAAGAAACCTCATAATATATGAGGAATGAAATGAAGTAGACCAAAATGAAAATATATGTTAATCTACGGTCAAAATCATTAGACGCATTGGTTTGCGAGCGAATGAGTGAGCATATGAGCGGATTTCATAACTTTGACCGCTCCAGATATTGAGTAGAAAGTCTTAGACGTTAATCGAACCCTTTCGGAATGCCCCAACGGACTCGACTTCCATCCTAAATCGTAGGGACGTTTGATGCCATGACGTTTGATATGTGGCCACTACCTTAGATTGCTGCCAAGCCAATAATCGAGGCAGTGCTTTTATCCACCTAGGCGAATCTGGTATACTTTTGTGTTGACAACGGAGTATTGACACGTTAGTGAGTTATGTGAAAACAGAAGGGATCATCAGTGGTACATAAGAGGAAGTCATAAGACTTCTTCCGATATCAGGAAACCTTGGCGTGTGTGAGGGGAAAGGTGAAGGTCGTAGATGTTTCTGACCGAATGTATTACGACTAAGAAGGCCGACTTGAGAATTCAATGGAATAAGTTCACTATCGTTTAGGTAGGTTTAAAAAATTGCACCCTTGATTGGGTCAAAGTTCGTGTTCCTGCCAACTCCTGGCACCTTCTCCAGAGAAATCTTGTGCTTAGCAATCTGTGCTAGAGATAAGAATGCCTTGAGTGGGTAGTGCACTCCATCTTATCAGAGAAAGAAAGGGAACCGACGCAAGATGGATACCTAACTATCAATAAATATAAGACAATATCGAATATTATGGCTCTTTCAAACCATCATTGAAAAACTTCCACTGCTCAACTACAATTCTTGAAGTGTTCTTACTTTGCAATGCGATCGATGGCTATTTGGGCATCTTCCATTGCCGGATCAACATATATTACACTCTCGAGAAATTCCGACACTACTGGCATTTCCATCACAGCTGGAAATATGAGTGTTGATGGAAGTTTTTCCTAATGAACACGGCCTGCCTACCTTTCAGTTCCAGGAACGTTTCGATTGGGACTGCTGCTGTTCCTTCTCCTCTGTTCTGACGAAGATGCTTAGCGTGCCTTTGTTGCATCACCTCATCGGACGGAACAATCGTCACGCACTGTAACAGATATGTTAAAATGAGGTCAGAAATAAGCATTTCTTTGAACCTAGAATCTTGAAAAAAAAAAAGGCTCATAAACTTAAATGGATACGAATAAGTTTGGAAAATTTCGCAGACACCAGAATCTCTTCACAGTGCTGTGCTCAAACTGTACAAGAAGTAATAAAAAGTCTATTACTACTTTGGAAGTTAATTCGAGTAACAACCGACACGTTAGAGCATATCAAGGAGCACAGCCCCAGTGCTCTTCTCCTGCTGCTGTTTCGCCCGATTATGCTTTTTTGGGGATAACTTAATTACATTAAAAATAGCTTGAATAAGCTAGGACTTGGTTTTCAGTTTTGAAACATAAGAACCTCCACATAAGCATTACATTGAGATATCCTTGTAGATTACTCACCTGTCGGAAGAAGCCTTCAAAAAGAGCTAGACGCTTTTTTCGAGTGTCTGGATCACAGTTGGTGAAGTCAAGGATGTAATTCCGTCTTCGGCGGGCAGCCAAAGAAAGTAACCTGAATGCTTACATCACTTCATTCTTCAATATTGCAGGCAGGTCACAGTTCACAGTACCTATTTCTTGCTTTTCCAACTAAGCCGAGAACCATGTCCCATCGTCCTATATGGCTGCTGTTCCTAGAGACGCCGTTCACCTACGAATGGAATATATATGTACCGTTATATTATGTGCACTATCTAGGAATTTGTGGGGTAACCCACATGTATTTGATTGTAAAATTTGCTAAATCAATTACTAATCTCAACCAGACCAAAGCTTGCCTAAATCGCTTAAGTGTGCAAATCACAAGCAAAACGAAAGCTTGGCACTACACTCTATTTGACTGTCTTTTAACCGCTGAGCAATCCTAGTTTTGGACGCGCCGCATCAGATCCTCGTTCAAAATCGAAGGGACATTTTAGACTCATATGTTTTATATGCAATGCACATTGTCGACCTTGTCCTTACACATTAGAAGGTTTACCTTCATGGAAGCTAATATGGTATCTGCACTGATGAGCGTCCAGTGTTCTTTTGGATGTTCTCGTATATAACGACGAACCCACGTAGTTTTCCCTACACTCGGCAAGCCAACCTGAAAGAAGATTTAGCTCTGTATGGCTGGAATAAGTCTTCATATGGGGGAAGTCAACCTGAAGACGGCGCATAACAATGACTTAATGGAATGCATCAACAAAAAAAATCCCGTTTTTCTGTGGAACCGCATGGCCACAGATACCAATGACTAGTTTTCTTATCATTCCCAAACTACAAACGAAATGTACCATTCAGAACGAACAGATCCAGTTTTTGAAATATAAAAGGTACAAGGTATTTGAATAGTAAAAAGTTTGAAAAATAGTCAACAACTCCTCAAAAGAATATTACATCCAATGAATAAACTCACCATCATGAGCACAGTGCAATCTGATTTACTGTCTGGTGGAACGGGAGCACGCTCAGTTTGTGTGCTCGGAAGAGAGTTCGGAAAAGTCCACTCAGGGCGCCTGAGAGATGTTTATGAGGGGTACTCAAAAAATAATGGCTTATAAATAAACTAACTTACTTTAACCACTCTTCTTCGCCTCCGGGGAATGTGCCAAAGTTGACAGATACCCGACAATTCTTTACACATATGTGAGGATAAACCGCTTCATCTTCGGGGATTACCACATTGGAGAAAGCCACTCCCATACATTCGGAGTTCTTCCAAAAACTGATAGTGGCTTTTTCGAAATCCTGAATCGTAAGAGATGAAGTGAAGTTTTGATATTGACTGTGATCCTATAACTCACCAGTTCTGCCGTCACCACATCTCCAACTCCAAAAGAGTCGCCATAGTCAGTGAAAACATTGTTGTTCGCTCGTTTTCCCAGCGATGTACAGCAGTA